AAAATTTTTGATGCATTGATTTTTTGGAAGAAGGGCTCAAGTCTTGTTGATATAATGAAAAGATGGGTACTTTAAACTAATCAATAATTTTGTCTTGTTCTTTCCTTGAAGTGTCATGATAGTTGTAGAGGCTTCATTCCAGTTGCCATGTTTTTGCAAATTAATGTTTTTGTGGTCAGAATTGGTAAATTCCTACATGTGGAAGTTGTGTGATACCATCTCCATCATTTGGGTTTAATACTACAAATTTGTTGGTAACCTCTCTATCAAACCCTTTTGGGATGGGGATGAAAATTATAAGTCGCTATAGGCTATATTTTGTTAAAATTTTTGATGCATTGATTTTTGGGAAGAAGGGCTCAAGTCTTGTTGATATACTGAAAAGATGGGTACTTTAAAGTAATCAATAATTTTTTCTTGTTCTTTCCTTGAAGTGTCATGATAGTTGTAGAGGCTTCATTCCAGTTTCTATGTTATTGTAAATTAATGTTTTTGTGGTCAGAATTGGTAAATTCCTACTTGTGGAAGTTGTGTGATACCATCTCCATCATTTGGGTTTAATACTACAAATTTGTATTTTATTTATTTTTATAATTGGTTTCTTACTCTTTTTTTTTCCCCCTCCATTTTTTTAGCATGCTGCATATCCTGATCTAGATGCTTCCACATCGTTCTTTGGTGTTTATGATGGTCATGGAGGTACGAATCTAATGTTCAGTTCTACAATTGTTATTATTATGGGGATCGTTATTTATTAATACAGAGAAAGGTGATCTGCAATTTGGATTTGTTATGCTTTATCACTCATATGTTCTGGTAGTTCAATATTTAAGTAATTGATTAGGCAGTAGGTGATTTAGGTAGTCCTTCGCTGCGTTTCATGCTTGTTCTTTATTTATTTATGTTTTTGATAGGTATGTAGATTGGTTCCTTATGGATGACACTATTACCATTTCACAAAGCTTAATTTAGAAATTATTTAAAATTTTAATTGATGATGCTTTCTCTGGTTGAGAACCTTATTAGAGGAAATGCAATTTTTGGTTCTGCAATCTTTCTTCAAATAGATTCAAGTTCTCTAATGGGAAGTTCAGTGTGATTTGAAATGGGAGGCTTGGTAATTTAAATTGATGAATTGTATATTTTAGAATATTCTTTTCTCCCCTCTCCTTTCCCATTTTGAACAAAATGTGCCTTTGATAATCCGCATCTTAGGGTCTTAGGGTTTGTAGTTGATGAGTTTCTGGTTGAAAAATATTCCTCATACATCATGGAGTAATGTTTTCATAAATTATATGTTCACCAAGATGAATAAATAATTTTTTTTTAATGATTTTTAAGATATCATAAGGTGGGTTTATGTGTTTTTTGAAGATAGCATGTCCTCAAACATTTAATAGAAATTATATCTTCAGTGTTTATTGTTATCTTGTTTGAAAAGTGTGATTAGCGTTATGACGGTTATTCATTTTATTTTTTATTTTTTAATTAGCAAAAGAAAATTTTATTGATGAAAAGATCATGAAAAGCACAACACATGATACAACAAAAAAAAAAGTACATATTGCATCATAGCAAAACCCTCTTATCCTAACTAGGTTAGCATGAAAGGCAAGCCTAATCAGACGCACTTTGCTATGATACAATATGCACTTCTCTCTTTTCTATGACTATTATGCATGATAGTGTATTCACGACTTTGCTTGGTGTATGTACAAATTACCATGAGTTAATTCTGGTTAAGTTGAAAACTAAATTTGGGTCATGGCAGTTATATGACTATTCCAGGCTTTCCCTCCTTTAAACTTGTTCTCTTTTGTGCTCTTTTCTTCTTCTTTTCTTTTTCATCATTTCATCTCTTTCTTCTCGTTCTATCCACTCTCTATTTATATTTTTTCTTATCTGAAAATAGATACACCAGTATATAATTGTTAAAATCTTAGTGGAATTGCTCAACACTTGGAACTGTGGGGGATTGTTCATTTGTTTATTCTTTTGGAGTTGACCCATCTTGACTTGGTATATTAATTGCTTTTCTTTCTCCACCTTGATTTGAGTTTTAATTTTTGTTGGGATTTAGTTTGGTTTTCTCTCTCTGTTGATATGTTGCTAAAATAATTTTTTGATAAAATCTTTTCAAGGCTATGATTTACTAATATGTGTTTATATATTGTTCAATCATGCTCCATATGTATGTCATATTTATATATAGTAATACAAAATTTTATACTAGTAATAATCAAATTCGTTTTTTCTTTTCTATTATTGCAGAGGATGAAGAGTCAGTGTGATAAGAAAATGTCCGATTTTGTCTTTTGTAAGACAAGAACAGTCTCTACAAAAATAGTAAGTTTATTCATATGCTTCTAGCGGTTTCTAAATTAATTTATTTTTTTATTTTTCAGGTCATAAATTTCCTGGAGAGATGCAAAATATGGTCAAAGAATTCAAGAACTTAGTTTTTTCAAGTTTATTTTTTTTATTTTTTAATATATGTAATCACAGTTAAACTTTTTTTATTAATTTCTTTGTATATACTTTTGAACATTTAACTTTCATTTATGAAATATATGATGTTATTCCATTTAATATATGGTTGTGATTCAAAATATAGTATATAGTGTGTATTACATTCTTCAAATGTGCGTACAAAAATAATATTGATTATTCTTCAAATATGTCGAATTCTTTTTTTTCTATCACAGGTTTTATTAGTTATTAATCACACTTAAAAGATGTGATCTAAATATTATTAATCACACTTAAAAGTTATGATCTAAATGTTTTTAATCACACTTAAAATGTGTGATCTAAATATTATTAATCACGCTTAAAAGATGTGATGAAAGCATTTTTTAATGACAATTAAAAAGTGTGATAAAAAATGACCCTTTTTAATCACACTCCCAAAGACCACATTTTAATAAAACTTAAAAGGTGTGATTAAAAAACATACATCACACAAAAAAAATGTGATCTTTATCTATATTTGTAGTGGTGGTTGATGATGAAGATGAAGATGATGTGTTGATGATGGTGATGCTGATGAAGATGTTGTTGTTGTTGTTGATTGTTGTTATTTTATTTTTATTTTTTTTTCTAGTAGATCAAGATCTGAATCCAGATCTGAAGGGGGGAGGGGGGGAAATGTTGGCTGATGATGCTGTGATGAAGAAGATGTTGTTGATAATGATGATGTTCTTCTTCTTCTCTCCTTCTTCTTCTTCTTCTTCTTCTTCTGCGTCTTCTTCTTCAAACAAACGGGAAGGAAAAAAGGAAAAAAAAATAATAATAAAAAAATAATCCCAAAACGACGTCGTTTTGGGATTTCGGGCGATTCGGGGGCTTCCAATTCGAGCTATGTAGCGCGATTGTAATAAAAAATAACAATTGCTATATTTGAGAAAGGTTAAAATTTGTGTTGAATTTGATACAAATTTCGATAGCTCTTATTTGTCCCAAATCATTAAGAAACACCTTCCTCATTCCTCCCACCTCCCAGCAAAACGTCCCACCTTCCCTCCATCTCTCCCGCTCGCCATTTTTGCAGAAGAAATATAGAAACTAGTGTTTTTAAGCGATTGACTGGACGTCTGGCTGGTCAGTTGGTCATCTAGATATACCAGTTTCTGTGCAAAAATAACAAAAATGACAGTTGAACAAGCTATGTTTTTTATCCATTTTTTACTATTCATTGCCATAATTAGGCAATGGCAATGCTATTATAGTATTTATCATTAGAGATGCTCTGACAATTCGTTTAGATTGACAAATCGGATTGGTTTCTCTCATGTTGGAATTTTAACACGAGAGAATTTGAGGAATTTGTAAAGTCCATCTTAGGGTCCATTTTGATAATCCAGAATATTAACTTTTTAGATTTGTTGAGTAAAATATTAAGCTATGCTAGAAATTTCAAAAATATTTGTAGGTCCCACACCTATGTGAGACATTTGATAAAATTTTGGAATTTCTAACATTTTATGTAAAAAAATAAAAATAATCAGACATTGGTAGATATATGTTTGAATCAAATTTATATTACAAAAAATGAATGGTTATTCTTGAAATTATATTTGCCTCCATTTTTTTAAAACAAATATTATTCAAATATATAAATACCGATCGATGTCGAACCATTTTGATTTTTTTGCATGAATATTCTACTCAATGGTCTATAAAAGTAAACGGTTTGGTTCATCGGAATTGATTTGAAAATAGACTTACCAAGTGCAAACCCTCTCTTAAATTGAGATCTCAACTTGAGAGAAGACAAATCTAATTATTATATTATATATTTCATATATTTTGTTTTCTTTTTCAAACATAACAGTGAAAAAATACAACTAATTTTTTTATTTTCTCACTTAAATAAGGGACTATAATCATTGTTTATTTAATGTTTTTTATTTTACCTCGCAGCTGCGTCCATGAGCTCTGTTTATTGCTATCATAAGCAATTCAATTTTGATACACCTCATACTAGAGAAAAAAATAATAATAATACATAATAAAAAAATAAAAAAATTAGTTATTTGCAACAATATATTAACTGTCACAAATAATTAACTTTATATAGTTTGTTAAACTTTCGGGAGGGCAAAAAATGCTATTGCAAATAATAATTTCAGCAATGGATTTATAATGATGCGAATTATACTTATAGCAACACAATAATTTTTTGCTGAGGTATATACATCTTTTAGTGACAAAAAATATGTACCGTCACAAAAAATAAGATTTTTTCCCCATTTCCAAACGGTTCCAATCCGATCCATTTTTCATTTTTTATTAGAAAGATGAAACATTTTAATATCTATATCCTTCTTCATCTGTTGCTTGATTGAATCAAATTATATATTTTTCGATCGCAAATGGATGTTCCTTAATTTTGCAAATCAATCTTTTACCCCGCACACCCCCTTTTTCCCCCCCCCCCCCCCCCCAAAAAAAAAAAAAAAAATTATTCAATTGTGACTTGACCTAGTGAGAGTCAAGAATTCAAATTACGAACACAGATTTTCCTTCAATTTTTTACAAAAATACTTGTAATAACAAATATTTCTATAATGTGTGCTTTTAAACATAATTATTTTGACATACATGAACATTTTATATATGGCATTCTGTCACAAACCCTAATATTACTATACTAAACTTGCATAAGCTCTTGAAAGGTCTTCATGGCAGTAATAGGCAAGCCCAGAAGCAAAGTGGTGATCTTTGTATCTCTTCCATTACAAAGCAGCAAAACCACTTCTTTCTCCGGCAAGTTCACGCAACCTGATTGCACCACCTCCCCCCACCCAAAATCCGTGGTGTCAAAATCCAACCTAGTCCACGACGTAACCAAAAGTGTGGCGGTCAATGAAGGTCTTGCCCTAGTCACTTCAAAATAATCAATCGCCGATCTAATAAACCCTTCTGTCACCATTTTAATCGCGTTCTGCACATGCGCCACCGCGAAACTCAATGGCTTTTCTATTAATTCTGATGCATTGCATATACAACACGTCAGAACAATGCCATTGCCAAAGTAACCTTTTGGCAATGGCGGGTTGAGTTTGGATCTCCCATCGACAGCAAATAAAAGCTTGGATTGCTGGTTTGGTTTCATTTTAAGGGCTTTGGTTCTTGCACGCCAGACCAAAGCTGTAAGCACGGTGAAGGTCGTGCAGTTTTTGATAATACCATCCTCCATGGCGGTCTTTTTTAGCCTGGCTATTTTTTCCTGATTAAATTGGAATGAATTGTACACCAATTGATCTTCTTGGTAGAGGGTGGACATGTTTGATGTGTCAGTTATTTCTTGGAATTCTTTGTGAGGGTATTTGATCGAATGAGGTTCTCTTGATCGGAGTATGGTTCGATCGAGAAACGGTGGGAGGGTTAGGGTTTTGGATCTTGCTGTTTCTGCCCATGAATGGACAAACTCCATGGCTGATATTCCATCAGTCATGCAATGGTTTATTGTCATTCCTAGCACAAAACCTCCACACTTGAACCTTGTCACCTATAAATTCAATAACTATCAGCAATACTACATATTCAGAATAAAAATAAAATTAAAAAGGTTTAAAATTTAAAATGTGTATTAAATTCATTTTCATTTAAATTTAGAGCAATTTTCTTTTCTTAAACAAAATTGTACATGGCATTTTTAAACAATAATAATACAAACAAACAAAAAGTGGTGAAATTATGATTTTGGATTAGAATAGATACTCCTTCCGTCTCAAAATAATGATGTCTTTTGGAGAATTTAACTTTTTTTGATAGTACAATTATTGTACTTTTCAAAAAGTTGATTTTTCAAAATTATCCATTGATAGTACATTTTTTGGAGAATATCAACGTTATAATTGTACTTTTTATATTATTTATGAATTTAAAAGAAGAGCAAAATAAGAAATTTATATTATTTTTGTACTTAATTTTTGAAGATTATTTATAAATTTAAAAAAAAATAAAAAATAAGAAATTTATATTATTTTTATATTTAATTTTTGAAAAAAAAACTATATTTTAAAATAATAAAAAATAAAATAAAAAATTAATATTTTGAGATGAAAGAAATAATAATAAAATAATATATTATGCAATAATAGTAGTTCCCGCACCTTGCTTGCAAAAATGCTTTAGAGCTCTAATATAAGAGTTCTAATAGCTCTAATGAGAATGTGGGACCCACCCTGATTTTTTTTTTTTTTTTTTTTTTTTTTTACTTTAACACATCACTAGAGCTCAAATTAAAAATCTAGATTTAGAGCTCTCTAACATTTCTCCCTTGGGGCTCGACCCTATTGCATTTAACTCCTAACGCTAGTCATGACAATGACTTGGATGCTAGTCGTCCTAGCCACCTACTTCGTACAGCTTGAGGGGGGAGGATAATAAAAAAAACCAGTGTATGATTGAGATATTTCATCAAACAAGTAAATATTCTCCATACTTGTGCACATATATATCCATAACACGGGGAAAAAAAAGGTACCGACATCTGTAAGGGTAAATTACAAAAATATTCTTGAGATTTACTTAATATATAAATTAATCTATGTGGTTTGAAAAATTATAAATACCTCTTTATTAGAATTTTTTATTTAACGAAATTAACTGAAAAAATAAAATTCATAATTGTTCTCCTATATAATAATAAAATTACTTAAATTATTAATTGAAACATATTTTAGCATTATTAAAAACTGTTAATTGACTTGATGATTTATTAATAAAAAGAACAATTTGTTAAGGGATAGAATATAATTTTCAAAATCATAGGAGGTGATTCGTATTTTAATAAAACTTTAGGGGTTATATTTGTAATTTACCGAAGAATAAATTTGCAAGCACTACAAAAAAAAAGAAAAAAATAAGAAGAATTAAAAATAGGCTTTTCATAAAGAAGCATTTAAAGAAAATAAAATTAGAGTGATCCGATATTCATAGGCATATTATTTTATCATATTGTCTTAAAAGGAAAGAAAAGAATAAGAAAAAGAAGACACATATAAATTTAAAAATAAATTATTTTAGATTTTAAAAAAATTATAAAAATTAATTATATGACTATAAATATCTTATTACTATATTTTTTCATTACATCTTTTAAAAAATTATAAAATTAATTATATGACTATAAATGTCTTATTACTATATTTTTTCATTACATCTATATATAAATTTTACAAAATAAACGGTTCTAATCGTCAGAATAAGACTTACCTAGAAACTCTAACATGCTTCTAGTTCAACACTCTTGTGGCATATTCGCTTATTTTAAGAAATAAGTTAAAAGTTGATTTTTTTTTATTTTTTTATAAAAAATGTATAAAGAAATAGAGAGGTAGTATGACTCAAAATAAATTAAAAAGTTAAAAAGTGACTTTTTCTTTAAAAAAATGTATGGTAACTCGAAATGTAAATTCTGAATGACTCGAATATATTGAAAAAGATGTGGTTTTATATACAAAATAACATCATTTTAAAACATTTGGAACAATTAAATCATAAAAATTCGAATTATTTCTCAAAAAGTTGTGGTACTGAATAATTATATTTTAGGAAAAGCAATTAATGTGTTGTGGTCCCTAAGCCCACGTGGCTTGATCATCGAAGACTACTTTGAAGACGATGCGTTGGGAATTTAGTTTTTTAAGTGATTTTTAATTTTTTTTATGAAATAAAAAAATTAATGGGTATAATTTAATGTGACATTTTATTAATGTGATTGAATTTTATTAGTTTTTTAATTTTTTAACATTTTTTTAATTAAAAAAATCTCTTACCAAACTGAACTTATAAATAATATTTATTGAAGTGCTCTATTTATTCCCAAAATGTGTGAATATCAGCCTAATTGGTTTGCAGTACCATTAGGGGTGTTTGTTTGGAAAGATTAGGAGGACTAAATATTGTTTGTATTTGAATTTACTGGAGGGGAGATGTCCATCGTTTGATACAATTTTAGTCTGTCAGGCATAGAGACCAACTGGACTCCATATCCCTCGTATAAGGGACTAAATAATCCTTGGTGGTGATTATTTTCTTGAGATTTGTATCCCATGAGACTAATGTATGAAATGTCCAGTTTACCCTCATAATATTACTTAGTAAACAATTGAAAAAAGATAAAATAGTCTTTTAAATATTTATAAGGAAAATTTACCCATAAGTCCTAGTTTTTGAAACGTTGAACCATTTAGTCCTAAAAATTTTCTTATGCTCCATTTAGTCCCATTTTTACATCAACATGATGTGAATGATGTAAATGATCTGATATTTCATTCTATAATTTCAAAATTTATTGAAATCTGATGAACATTAGATGTTTTTCATCCTATATTTTCAAACATTATTGAAATTTGATGAACATTAGATGTTTTTCATCCTATATTTTCAAACATTATTGAAATTTGATGAACATTAGATGTTTTTCATCCTATATTTTCAAACATTATTGAAATTTACTACATTTTTCCCTAGTTTTTGAACATTTATAAATTATAAATTATAAATTACAAATTACAAATTATATATTAAATAAAAAATATAAATTATAAATTACAATGGCTAAAATAGTCTTTTAAACATTTATCCTTATCCAATCTATCCAATCAAACATTGGATTCAATAAAATAATCCAATCCAGACATCTAATCCTATGACTAAACAAACATAAGATACAAATCTAGATCAACCAAATAGTCCGGGGATAATGTATCTCAGGAGTAACAATTCAATAGATTACAATCCCTCTTTATCCAGTCCGTTCAAACAAATACACCCTTATAGATTTATTGCTATTGTGATCGCCGCACAGTACCAAGCATCTTCCTCAATTTAGTTGTCGTTTTTGGCAATTGATTTTTTTTAGTTGTTTTTTTTTTGGTTTTTTAATTATTTTAGTTTGGGACTAAAAGTTTGTACTTTTTTTAGCCAAATAAGCTCTTAGTATTTCAACCAAATTTCAAATTAATTTTTTTTTGGGTATCTAAGATGCTTTAATTTAAAATTAAAAAAAAAACTTTTGATTTACAAGTTGTAACTATCTAAATTAATTTTAGTTGATTTATTAATGAATGTAATAGTTTCCTCAAAAAAATTATTAGTAATCTTATAGTTTTGCAATTACAATTTCAGATTTAACACCTGTTATGTAAAGTTGCTAGGATAAAATTTATTAACAAGCTTTCAAATATATTCAATGGGTGTTTGGAATTTACTTATTTAGTGATTTTTTGGTTAATTTTTTCGCCTTTAGTTAATTTTTTTTCTATTTTTTTATTTTTTTATTTTTTGATTCAACATTACTATCAAATGTCACTCATTGGGAAATTTTCTAGCAAACGGCGACAGTGGACAGATAAATGAACACATGAATAGATAGATAAGGGAAATTGTATTTTTTAAGACTTTGAAAATATATTTTTTAATTTAGATTTGGACCCAACTGAGTTGCAACTTTATTTTACTTGACATGTTACCATATAAAAACTAGGGCTTTGTTGAACACACATGAAATTATATTTCTTTATCGGATTTAATTTGGGTACGATCAACAAAGAACTTTATGTATTATATAATTTTTTTTTGGAACAAATATGTATTATATAATATTGTCATGTTATATGTATATCATTTGTTAATATTTAGTCATACTTATTTTTATTTTTTTCAATCTATCTAATTGAGTAGAACCAAGAAATATGTTACATTATTTTTTCTTGGAATTCAAATTTGACTTTTTTTTAGTGAATTTTTTTTTTTTTAAATTGTTCTAGATTCATTTAGACAAGGCAGACGTGATAAGTGAAAAAATTAACATAATTTTTTTTTAAAAAATTTCTAATTCTTTTTTTAATAAAAAAATTAACCTTTTTTTTAACTATATGTGAATAAAGATCCCAAAACAATTGCAAAATCATGAAAATGTTTATCACTTTAATTATTAAAGTTAATAAGCTTTATCATTGATATGCAATTTATTTTTTTTTTAATCTTTCCACTTATTTGCAATTTTCCCCATAGTTTTGCTTGTTCAAATATAGCTATAACCTATTGTTTTTATTTTTATTTTTATCGAGCTATAACCTATAGTTTGAGCATCAAATCATCAAGAACATACATTAATTAGAAAGCTACAAAAGTTAGCTCTAGTACCAATCCCATTGTTCCCACTGCCCCCACATCACAAGGGAATGTTTCACCAAATCATAGTTTGGTATCTTATTTTTAATTTCATGATTTTTAAATTTTATTTCATTTATAAAAATATAGTTCTGAGTTTGAAATTATATTTTAAAGCCTTGTTATATTTTTATCTTTTTCTATTTCAAGTGATTTTTTACTTATTTTTTTAAATTCAACTTGTTTCATAAAAATACTGAAGTAGTGTTTTTAAAAACTCTACTTCATTGAATCATACAATAAGTGCAAGACTTAAAAAAATGAAATCTTATTTTAAACACACAATTTTATGAACGTTTTAATAAAGGCCTTATTTGAGAAACAAGATTTTTAATCAAAAAGTCATTATAAATTATCAATTTATTTTCCCTATTTTTTTAAACATATTTTCATAAAAAGATATAAAAAAAAAAATCACCAAAACGTCAACTCAAAATACAATTCTAAGTTTTTGTATGAGTGCACACCCTATCATGATGTAAAAAATGAAATGTTATTATTATGATGTACAAAAAAGGAAATTTAATTTAACTCTCCTAAAAGTCTATTTGTGTGTTTTTGTATTTGTTACAAAATATTATAGTTATGATTATATCACGTATTTGAACTTAAGTGAATTGTTCGGGCATCGATCATGCCTCGATAACCTAAAGAGTTCATTTTATAAGTCCATTCGTATATATTATCTATAGAAAAAATTATATTGGTTTGATAATTGTAGGTATTTTTATTTTATTGTGCTTGTTTTCATTTCATTGTGTTTGTTTCTAAAAAATTAGATGATCTAATTTTAAAATAAAATAAAATAAACTTGTTTATTTTTTCAAAAACAAACATGACAAAATAAAAATGTTACAATTTCCAAATTGACCTAATATTTTTCTTTAATGATATCCACGAAAAGCCTCACAAAATGAATTGTTCAAATCATTGAAACGAGATATCTGGTGGATCTCACGCGTTCAAATAGTTCTCTCATGTTCATATATAAATTTGAAATAAGTTCTGCCCATTACATATATTGTGATAGAATACGCGCGACATTATCTTTTTTAATAGTGACATCATAAAATGCTCCATATAATCATGTTTTTTATATCTTTTTCTCACTTCTAAATATGAGACTGAATACATTTGTTGATGCGACCCTATTATTTTGTGTCTAGAAGCAAAAAAATAAAAATAAAAAGAAAATTATGTATAGTATTGCTCCAAAAAGTTTACGTGTAGCATAAGTATTTGAGAAAAATTATATATAAACAAATTTCTTATCTGATTTTTTCATCACTAAATACAAAGATGGTGAAACTCATTAATAAATACACATTGAACTCATTACTTTATATTTACTGATAAAAAAAAATCTGATAAGAAATTCGTATTTTAACATTTTTTCAAAGCATAAAACATGCATGATTTTGTTACCTGTGCAGTAAGCAGAGGCATTTCCAAAATGTGTTTGGCTCCAGGAACAGTGTAAACCAGCTTTCCCAACATCCCCGGATCAGGAACAGTTATATCTCCAAGCACATCCATGTTACAATCTGCCTCAGCTTCGACAAATGGCACGCCACGATTCGTGCACTCCACGATGAGCTTACCATCCGAGCTGACCCTCAAATTCCCCGTGAGGGGGTAAAAATGGACTAAAATTTTAGCCAGGGCCCGTTTAATCACGTCACCGACATTGTCGGTGAGGTCCGGCGGGCAGCTAAGATGAGGTTGCCGCCCGCCGGGAAAGCGAAAATATTAGGTTCTAAACCTGCTCTGATACCATATTAAAATTGTAGTATTATTGATTGATCTATATTGATATATATTACAATGATTCATGATTCCTACATATAGAAGAGGGTGAGTGTGTAATAGGTAAGGAGTAGGTGAAGTGGAGGTGGTAGTGGTGTAGTGGGTTAGGTTTAGTGGAGTAGGTGTAGTGGTCCATCACTGCCTGTGGCCACACATACAGGGGCCTAGACGGGCCTTGATTTATGACCATTATTTAAAATAAGAAACTATGATCTGATTATCTTCTATGCAAATGATCTGGACTGGTTAATAGATTTAATAAAAACTACGAACATTTGCCCTAGATGACATTAAATTTTTTTCACCCATATATCATAGTATAAAAAAATCAACATTTCTAAAATGTCTAGAATTAATTTAAAAAATAACTTGCACCACCTTTGTACATAACAGTGATGTGGTGAATTGAGGTATTTAATTATTGTAGTTGCCTTGCCCAACTCAAATAAGAGAACTACAACAAATATGTCATGATTTGCTCATATGACATACTTCAAAAAATTTTATGTACGATTATTTTTTGTATTCCTATTTAGATAATAAAAGCTTCTCTACCACATAAACCTATTCTATTTCTAATTTTTAAAGAAGGGGAGAAACTCATGTGCAAGGCAGGCACATGCACTGCTACTATTGGTACTAAAACATAACTACTCCACCAATTATAACTGCATCACACTCCCCCTCTAAAGAAAACAACATATCCTCAAGTTGGGCATCAACAAAATGACTCAAGACAATGATGTCAATAAAATGACTCAAAACAATGACATCAACAAAATAACTCATGGAGGCATTGTTAAAATCCACCTACTACACACCTACCACTACCACCTACTACACACTCACCTACTTCACCTACTCTCCACCTCCTCCTCACCTACTCCTCACCTACTAGGCTACTACACACTCACCCTCTTCTATATATAGGAATCATGAATCATTGTAATATATAACAATCAATCAATCAATAATATATCAAATTCTTGCATGGTATCAGAGCAGGTTTAGAACATAGTATTTTCGCTTCCTCGGCGGGCGGCAACCTCACCTTAGCCGCCCGCCGGACCTCAACCTAATCCGCTAGAATTTTCTACACATACCTTCACTCCCACGCCCACTATCACTGGCGGTTTGGTCCGCCGCTGTGTCCGCTGGAGCATCCGGCCCCGGCGCCGCTGCCTTAAACAACTCACTGGGTTCCAACACCTTGTCAATCTTATACACCACCACCACCACCACCACCACCAGTTCATGGTGTCTCCGAGCTCCTCGTCGGCGGCGGCGGCGGCGATGCTGAAGTTCGGGTGTGAATTGCTACACATTTTCGAACTCGAAAGCGATTCTGTTGGATGCACAGAAGGCGTATCAGCCACAGTTTGTGAAGATAGAGGAGCACAATTTTTTCAGTGGGGATGAGGCTTGTAATTTCTTTTCGGCCCTTCCATGGTATTGCTCCGATCAGTGAAACTAGAAGACTGTAGAACCCAGATCATACAACAATGAAAAATAGGGGAATTCAGAGAGAGAAAGTAGTGGAGAGAGAGAGAGAGATGCTGTGTGCTTTTTGGAATGCTTTGTGCTAAATATTTGCCCTCCACCTTCTGCTTTCTTGGGGTGATGTTCCAGCTACAATTGCAGACAGTAGCTTGTGGGCATGTGTGGTAGCTGGCTAGTGCAGGTATGGCTGTGGTCCATCACGTGCTGCGGGATTTTCTAAGGATTTTGTCGGCTTGGTTTGTTGTAATGGTGGGCAGGCTGTCAATTGAAGTCAAAACCATGTGAGTTTTATATATATTATACATAAACATTTTCCTTTTCTTTTTTTATTCCTTTTATTCTTATTTTTGTACAAACCAACCCACTGATTTTATATTTTATTTTATCACATACCCATCATGTACCCCACTCTCTCTCTCTCATCTTTCCACTTTCAAACCCACAATCCTTTTTTTAATCAACCCACGTTGCTCCACTTTCTTTCTTTTATTTTATTTTATTTATTTATTTATTATTATTATTATTTTTTTTATAAAAAAATCGAAAACAAGAAATATAAGTGTTAAATGACCCCTAAAATTTCGTTTATTTTGTTGAAAATTAAGTTTTTGGAGAAAATGCTTTTTGTAGAAGATATTTTCTGAAAAATCTTTTATGCAAAAAATGTTTTCCTATATTGGGTTGCCACATTAAAAATGATGATATTTGAGAGGGGAGATTTGCACCGTTAGTACGACCGAGCTACGATAGTGTCGGTCGTGACAAACTTCACGGCGCCGCGCTATTTACTCTACTGAGACGGCCGGTGGATCTGTTTTGCTCGGTCAAGGAGATTGGCCGACCAGGCGAGAACTACGCCCGGCCGAGCTGTGGCAGGGCACGCAGTCGAGTGGCGAGACCGGGCTACGAGTAGCTCGGGCTAAACCGAGGACGAGGCGAAGGCCGGCATGCCTTTGAACGGTTAGCCGAGATGGACAGATTCCAGATAACCTCGGATGAAGGTAGAACGGATGGAGGCCGGCATGCCTCGGAACTGGTAAGCCACAATAAACACTGCTGCACCTCATTTGTCCTGCTCTGCAGCCGGTGCGACAAGTTTGTGACCGCAGTCATGGTTTCCACACATGACTTCAAAGTATACTTATTGGCCTCAATATCAGTTTGCACCGCCATTTTTTGCTCCACCGACCGCATCGGAAAGTTCAACGGAGCAAAACCAGAGGTGCTTGGTTGAGGTTCAAGGGCCACCGCATCGGTTATCTCTCTTGTGGACTCGTTGAGGTCTGGAAAGAGAGTGAGCAGACCACGGGAAGACAAGGCCATGTTTTGGGTTGCTAAGTGTTTCAGGTGTTACAGAGTGTTTCAGAATGGTAATGTTCAGAGGTTTCTGACTGGTTTGGTTTACGCAGCCTCCGCTTCGGTTTATAAAGACCATGACGAAGAGGACGACACGCGCTCTGTCGATCACGTGCATCGCCGCGTGTCTGGCGCGCCTTTTGATGGCTCGCCGTTCGATGCTTTCTGTCGGGCACGACTTTTGATGCAGTGGGCGCCCCTTTTGAGAGCGCGACTTTTGAGGGCTCGATATATCTATACATGTATATATTTGGGCAGCCTATATACACCATCATACAGTGTATTCTACAATGGTCTGACATGACCCCCTAAACTGTCCCGACATTTGATTCCGGTTAGCTTTTCCAACGGTCCAGCATGACCACATAAAACTGTCCCGACATTGATTCCGGTTAGCTTTTACAAGGGTCCAGCAAGACTCCGTAAACTGTCACAACAACTGTCACAACATTGTCTGCTACAACGGTCCGACATGACCCCATAAACTGTCTTGTACATCGGTCTGACACCGCCATCCAGTGTCCTCTACACCGTTATGACACCACCATACAGTGTCCTCTACAACGTTATGACACCCCATACAGTGTCCTCCACCAATGGTCTGACACGACCATCCAATGTCTCCTATCCTTTTTTATTTTTATGTATTTTCTTGTTTTGTTCCTCTCTTCAAACTCAAGTTGGTTAGTTTCTATCCTCCTTGAGTTTGCGGGGGGCTGTTAGAATTTACCATAACCCACTCCACCTACCACCTCCACTACCACACACACTCACCTACTTCACCTACTTTCCTACACCTACCACACACACTCACCTACTCCCAAATCCTCTCCTATATAATAGGAAGCCTTGTAATATCAACAACACAACAATCAGATATCAATCAATAAATACATCATTTTTAACATGGTATCAGAGCAAG